GCCACTCTCAGTGAAGTCTGCCTTCATGAAGAAGGCAGCCTCAGAGAACATGGTGCCGGTTACACACTCTTTTGGTCAGGCAAGCCCAGAACCGAAAAACACCTCTCAGGAGTCGGCTTCATGATCAAAAACTCCATTGTTCCTAAACTCGAAAATCTGCCGACAGGTCACTCTGACCGCATTATCTCCCTACGCCTTCCACTAAACAACAAGCAACATGTTGTCATCTTTAGTATATATACCCCAACTCTCCAAGCTGACCCTGCTGAAAAAGATAAATTTTACACTGACCTGCGCCTCCTTACCCAAAAGGTTCCTGCAGACGATAAGATCATTATCCTTGGTGATTTCAACGCCAGAGTAGGCAAGAATTTTGAAGCCTGGAAAGGAGTATTAGGCAAGCATGGTGTTGGAAACTGCAATGATAATGGTCGACTTCTGCTAGAATTCTGTGCAGAGCAACAACTCACTGTCACTAATACTATCTTTCAGCAGAAAGATAGTCTGAAGACAACCTGGATGCACCCCCGTTCTAAGCATTGGCACCTCATTGATTATGTCCTGGTGCGACGGAGAGATGTCCGCGATGTCCATCATACCCGTGTAATGCCCAGCGCAGAATGCCAAACAGACCATCGGCTGGTGCGCTGTAAACTCAATTTCAAGATCAAATTCAAACCAAAAAGGGGCAGCATCCCAAGGAGAAGACTCCAAGTTAACAATCTCCAATCAGCCACAGTAAGAGACAGTTTCCAGGCAAACCTTCAAACTAGGCTCGAAAACATTCCCACAGTTTCTGCAGATTCCTCTCCTGAAACAATCTGGCACCATATCAAAAACAGCATCCTGCAATCCTCCGAAGAATTCTTAGGGTTCTCCCTCAAGAAGAACAAGGACTGGTTTGACGAAAACAACCAAGAAATCCAAGACTTGTTGAGGAAGAAGAGAACCGCCCACCAAGCACACCTTGCACTGCCATCCTGTCACGCAAGAAAAGCAGCCTTTCGTCTTGCATGCAGCAAGCTCCAACAGAAACTCCGTGACATCCAGAACAAATGGTGGATCGATCTAGCTGAAAAAGCTCAATTATGCACAGATACAGGTGATCATAAAGGCTTCTATGAGGCCTTGAAAACAGCATACGGGCCTACATACCAGGTCCAAAGCCCTCTACTCAGCGCTGATGGTCAAACACTTCTGACAGATAAAACCTCCATTCTGAATCGATGGTCTGAACACTTTCAGACTCTCTGCAGTACCAACCGCGTAGTCCAAGACTCAGCAATTCAGTCCATCACACAACAACCAGTAAAGTATGAATTGGATACTGCTCCCACTTTAGGAGAAACCCTCAAGGCCATACAGCGGGTGAAAATCGGCAAGGCAGCTGGGGTTGATGGAATTCCACCTGAAATCTGGAAACATGGGGGCCTTGCACTCCACACCAAATTTCATGAGTTCGTGGTGCGCTGTTGGGAACTTGGCAAACTACCATCTGACCTTCGTGATGCAGTCATCATCACCTTGTATAAGAAGAAAGGAATTAAATCTGACTGCTCAAACTATCGTGGTATTACTCTGCTCTCCATTGCTGGCAAAATCCTGGCAAGAATACTCCTGAACAGACTAATACCCACTATAGCAGAAGGTATCCTTCCTGAAAGTCAGTGTGGTTTCAGAGCCAACAGGAGTACCACAGACATGGTATTTGTCCTCAGACAACTGCAAGAGAAGTGTAGGGAACAGAACAAAGGTCTCTATGTAACCTTTGTCGACCTCACCAAGGCTTTTGACACTGTGAGCAGAAAAGGTCTATGGCAGATTTTGGAACGTTTAGGTTGTCCCCCCAAGTTCCTTAAAATGATCATCTCACTCCATGAGGATCAGCACGGCCAAGTCAGATATGGCAACACACTGTCTGAGCCCTTTTTAATTAAGAATGGTGTGAAACAAGGCTGTGTTCTCGCTCCTACCCTATTCACCATCTTCTTTAGCATGATGCTGCAAAGGGCCACAGCAGACCTCGATGATCAGGACGGTATCGAATGTAGGTACTGATGGAAGTTTATTCAATCTAAGGTGTCTGAAGGCCCACACCAAGACCTTAAACCATCTTGTCCGGGAGCTGCTTTATGCCGATGACGCCGCCCTTGTTGCCCACACAGAAGCAGCCCTGCAGTGTTTAACATCCTGCTTTGCAGACTCTGCTGAGCTCTTTGGACTGGAAGTCAGCTTAAAGAAGACAGAGGTCCTCCATCAACCAGCACCTCAGGAAGTCCCCCATCATCCTCACATCACCATTGGCCAATCAGAGCTCAGATCAGTCCAACAGTTTAATTACCTCGGTAACCTCATCTCCTCAGATGGCAAGATCGACGGAGAGATAGACAACAGATTAGCAAAGGCATAGAGTGCTTTTGGAAAACTCCATAAAAGAGTATGGCGTAATAAACACTTGAAGAAAAGCACCAAGATCAGTGTTTACAAAGCCATAGTGTTGTCTACTCTCTTGTATGGATCTGAATCATGGGTCATCTACCGCCACCACCTGCGTCTCTTAGAACGCTTCCATCAACGCTGCCTCCGTACAATCCTTAACATCCACTGGTCAGACTATGTGACCAACACATCTGTTCTAGAGCAAGCAGCTATCACAAGTATCGAGGCTATGTTGATGAGAACACAGCTGCGTTGGGCAGGGCACGTCTCCAGGATGAAGGACCACCGCCTTCCCAAGATCTTGCTTTACGGTGAACTTGCCACTGGCTGCCGCATGAGCGGAGCCCCGAAGAAAAGATACAAGGACTCCCTGAAACAACATCTCAGCCTTGGCCATATTGATCACCATAACTGGTCTACTCTGGCCTCAAATCGGGAGGCCTGGAGACACACCATCTATAACGCAGCTGTCTCCTTTGAGAACACACGCAGGATCACCCTCGAGGAAAAAAGGCAACACAGAAAGAACCGTGTATTGCAGAATACACCATCTAAGGAGTCTTTCTGCTGTGCCTTTTGCAATTGGATATGTCTGTCACGTATTGGCCTCATAAGCCACCAGCGTGCCTGTAGCAAATGTGGATAGAGCCTTCCCAAATCTTCGTTCGTGAAGCCTAGCCATGATGATGATGATGAGGTGAAAAGAAAACCAAGAACATTGCAGCTCAGAGATGTGAACTGCAAACATGAAACAGAATTTTAAATGCAAGTTCCTTTAAGAAGGATGTAGAATTCACAATATGACATCTAGAAAATAAGTCCTGGAAACAAACAATGGGATATAGAATCACAGAATTACAGCAGGGTTTGGGTTGTAAGGGACCTTAAAGCTCAACTTGTTCCGGCCCCTGCTACAGTCAGGGACACTTTCCACTATCCCAGGTTGCTGCAAGCCCTGTCCAGCCTGGTCTTGGACACTTCCAGGGATGGGGCAGCCACAGCTTCTCTGGGCAACCTGTACCAGGGCCTCACCACCCTCACAGAGAAGAATTCTTTCCCAATATCCCATCTAACCCCACTCTCTGTCAGTGTGAAGCCATTCCCCCTTATTCTGTCACTCTAGGCCATTGTAAATAGTCTCTCTCCATTGTTCCTGTAGCCCCTTCAGGTCCTGGAAGGCCACAATTAGGTCACCCCAGAGCCTTCTCTTCTCCAGGCTAAAAAATACCAATTCTCTCAGCCTTTCCTCACAGCAGAGCTGCTCTATCCCTCTGTTTACGTTGGCGCCTCCTTGGACTTACTCCAGCAGCTCTATGTCCTTTCTAAAGGAAGGACAGACTTTTAGCTTTTTAAGCAACAGTGGAAAACTTGCATTTGAAGTACTGGTGGTGTGAGGAAGGTTTTTGTAAGTGAGGGAAGAAATGTATAGCAAATTCAGCAATTAATACATACACTTAGAAGCCTGAATTTGAGACCTTTGCATTCCAAAGACTGTTTCCCCTTGACAACCATTAGATTGTGTTTCATACTATCATGTAAAGTGAGGGAGCAAAAGCTCAACAATCAACAACATGTACCCCAATGAAAAATGACACATTACTACTCCAGTTAAATGCTTACAAATTGATGCTTTTTTACAAAAACCATGAAACAAAGAGAAACAGGTACCTTCTCTCCCCTTCTGAATGCAGGAATGATACTTCTCGTGCTTTTCCCAACTTAAAACAGCAGATAGGACAAGCAATAGCAAAAACACAGATCCCCCAGTGTATTTTGCATTGAGTATCTCAAGATCACTAGAATTTCTGTCAAGAATTAAGCAAAAAAATTCTAATTATTTACTAGACAAAATAAAAATTAAGACCCCCTCCTTAACTATCAGATGTTGTCTTGGGCATGAGATGATTGTTTGGCACACCTTTGAAAGATACTTTGAGAGAAAAACCAGTAAAACTAAACTTTTAAATCTGTTAACATTAAAAACTGAAGTAAAAGGAAAATTATTAAACCCCACAAATATTAAAGCACAAAAAGACCATACTATATGCTAATGTTTAGAGATCACTGAAGCTGTATGTTTACAAATAGCATGCTATATTAACAATTTACAGTAATTAGATAAAGGCCATAAACAACTAACTTCTGGGGTAATATGAACATGTTGAAGTAAACTACTATCAAATCAACAAGGAAGGTACTATTATGAAAGCAGAAAATATATTCATAGTTGCAGCTATGAGTGCAGAAATGCAGATGGGAATGTTAATAATATAGATAGCAAAAGATAGACGTTTATCTGAGCACTGATAATGTAGTTTGTGATATATTTTATCTATTGAGCACGAAGTGTGAAATGCTGTGAGGGAGCTGATAGTATGAGATATGATTAATCAACATCAAGAAAATCATCTGCTGTATAAAAAAGAGCACCACTAAAACATTATATAAAGTGTGGGAATAAATAAACAGGGTTGAATTCAGATTGTTGTATGGGAAGTTAAATAAAGCTGAAGGTAAAGAAGGTTAATAAACAAAGATCAAAGCAAAGTTACAGCTTTATTGATGAAGATAATCTTAGCAAGAAGACCAAAACCACTGTGACAATGAAAACTGACATTTAGCATAACTGACAGTTTAACACTACTTTTCTCCTGCTAGGATGTAATCCATGCACCCTACTAGAGAAAATCAATTACTCCTGAACCATGTATTTGTGGCTCAGAAAAGATGCTGCTTAAAAGAAAAATTGAGTAATCTGAATCCCTCTTACTTTATCATCTGAGCATGGCACAGCAGAAAGATTCAACTGCACAACTAATCATATATATAATCCCATTGTATCATTTGTGGCTATACATAAATTACATGTATATTGTGGCCCATTTCAAAATATATCTACTCTTTGAAATAGACTGTAAGTGTCAGAAACTTTGCTATCACTCTGACATGAAGTGGGGTACTTCTTTCACAAGATTTGAGGGATGCAAGAAAATAAGCCTACGAATACTTGCTTTTACTCATCTCACTCTTTTTAGTGAAAGAATTGCTGTACTTCAGTGAAAGATTTGCAAGCACTTCACAACATATTTTAAATCTAATTTAACTCAAATCACAGCTTTTTAACACCAGAGTAGTCCCTCTGCTTTCAGTGGGAGGGGATTCCTCACAGACTGGCTTCCAAACCTGGAACAGATGAATTTCAGACTTGGACACACAGTGGAAGCAAGTTCACCTTTGGAAACTTCAGGGCATTGACACAACAGTAATTGCTGGAATTTGGGGAATTCATCAGTGTGCAGTCATGAAGCTGTTGGATGCCATGTTATATAGCAAGAAAGAATTTATGACCAGCTTAGAGGCTCTTTTTGGGGTCTTACCCAAAACTGCAAGCCTTTAAACCTGAATAACTGAGCACAGATATGGAAATGTTGTAGAGCAATGTGGTACCTAAAGGCTGGTGAAAACACTTGAGTTCAGCTTCTTGAACACCGTGGAATTCAAAAAACAAAAAAACTAACTAACTATTCCAAATCAAGCTTAAAGAATCTTAAAAGTGTAAGTCACCAGGATTAGGTTCACTTAGCCCTCCTGTAACACTGCAGATACAGAGGCAACATGTTTACATCAATTTTATTCTAATATAGAAGGGATAGAACTTATATAGGTGAGAATTATGTTTAGATAACTAAAGCTGGGATGACACAGTGGTATAATTTAAATACCAGTATAGAGGCCGAGGACACAGCACAGCTGCTACCATATTCTGTTAAGTCATTGACATGGTTCCTGATGCAGTTTTGATGCAAAAAAATCCAACACTCTCAAAAGTTCCTGAGCACGAGGTAGTCCCATTACATGATATGAGCTCAGGCACAACTTGTGAGAGAAGAAATTTTAATTGTATGAATGAGATCTGTGCAGGTTGTCCATTTTGAACAGAGAAAAAGATTTGACCTGTTTTATCTATTAGTAGAGGTGGAGCCAGTAAATCCCACACAGAGAGAATTAATGTTCTCTAAGAGCTGGGTATAATGAACCCTGCTTCCTAAGGGTAGAGGTACTGTAGCTGATTGATTTTCATGTCTAAGCAGTTGTAAAGTGGTGCTGAAGTTTTACTCTTGAGTTGTGCAAATATAAAGCCTCCTTTTCTCTCATTTCCAACAGTGCATGAGCTCAGCTTTCTTCACAGCTCAGGTATTTGCAGTCCATCTCCTCTCATCTCTTTCCTATTTCTGTAAATATTAAAAAATATAATAACATGTTACACCTCTATTATCTGTAAAACTGTGAAGACTCAAAAGTTATTATTGAAGGGGAGATACTGATAAGCAGACAGTGATTAATAATTGCGAAAAAAACAACCCAAATAGGAAAAGCAGAAATAGGAAAATAGGGGAGAATATGATATATATTGTTCCTTTGACAATATAATAACAAAATTATCTCTGCTTGTCACTTCTCAGAAATCCATGCTGATAAACTTCTTTCACAACAGCTAGTATGTGTTTGCAAGTTATATAGTTTCCAAATGCTTCCAATCTCAATTTAAGATCCTTAAGACATTTTAACAGCAATATAGTCTTCCTTGAATATTTCTGAAAAGCAGTCACAAGAATAATTTAAAAACAACAGTACAGATCAGCACTACTCTTAAATTCCATCCTTGTGAATTTATTGAAATGCTAAACTAACCATCTTCTGCATAAGGATATTTTAGGTAGCTTTCAGGCTGCTTTTCAATCAGTTTTGCCAGTTAGTCTGGAATAATTGAGGATGTGAATTCAAAGGAATTACATTTATTTTTACATATATATATATGACAATGTTCCCTTCAGAGTTTGTAGAAAGGACAAAAAGATTCAAGGTGTATATTTTCTTTAATATTCTCCATGTGGTCATAATAGTCTGCCATTATTTTAAACATTATTAGGTAAGAGTTTTAGAATACTATTACATTTTTGCCAAGAAAAGATGATTTTTTTTTTCTTTCTTTTTTAAGTGCTTCATAGGGTCTGTATTAATTTAAGTACTTCTACAGGCTCAATGATTGTGAAGGTAGGGCAAATATAAGGACAATTTTTGTGCACTGGTAGATTTTATTTGTTCACACAGGCACACTTATGGCATGAAAAAACATGGATCTTCAGAAGCACAGTCTTACAAATGTTTTTTTTCTTGAAGGTTGTCTTTCAGGATTTCAGTTGTGAAATTCCTGGCCCTGAGACAAGATTTTAAAATCAATACCACAGCGTGTTCCATGCATGTGCTCAGTGATGCTTCCAGCTGGTGAAGTCCTGTGGGCCAGGATGAACCTGTAGGTAACAAAAAATGAAGTGGAAGAGCTGCCATCACAGATGGGTTAAACACAGGGCAAAGTGTACATCTGAGATAACACACAAGTTTGTTTTTTTAAACTCCACTCTGACACCTTCACATTGACAGCTTCAGAAGAAGGTTGCTGTTTGCTCAAGAGTGTTTTCCCAGAATGAAATGAATGATGGAACAGAAACACATTATGGTTTAAAAAAAAGGGAATAATGCAATATTTTACTAATTAAACTGTATTTACAGAAAGTGTAGCTCTTGCTTTGAGATCTGAATAGTCACATTTTCTCTCAGAAGTGCTATCCCATTTCTTCTTAAAAGAAGTGCTGCAAAAGACCAGCTTTGGTGTAAAATGTATTTTACCATAAGGCTGCAAAACACTACAGGAAGAACAATTAAAGTGAGTAGGCTTCATTAATTACAGAGGCTGATATTGCAGTAAAATGGCTGCATTTAGTGACAAATTATGCCTTGTTTTTCCTCCATCTCATGCCTGTTGCAGACATAAACACATATCGCCTTTCTTGCTTGTTCTGGGAGAGAGGCAGATACAGACTCATTAAGGCTCTTTCTTACCTCTAGGAGAAAATGGATTAGGCTTACATCTTCAATCAGAATTTAATACATGCAATGCTTCCTGCATTATTTTTCTTTGTGTGTGAAATAGGATCTTTGTAGGACCTCTCTGCTTATTTCTCATTACAGGAATGTAAAGGACTTTGCACACAGACTGCAACTCCTTAAACTTGTGCAGATCAAGACCTATAGGATTAATAAGAGGATTTAAGGAATACACTATTACTGTTGATCGTATCTTCTATTTCCATATACCACATGAATGAAGCATAATGAGGACGAGCAGTAAACTTGCCGCTATACTTGGTATTCTGTGTTTTGTAAGAGCTAGTTCTGAGATAAACCTGAACTGTGACCAGGGCTGCCAAGCTGTGAGTAGAGATGTCAGAAGAAACTTCATATTTTTTTTGCCTTGAAAAAGAATTAATCACTCTCAAAGCTCTTGATGTGAGTTAGAAAGCATGGATGACATCAAATAGAATATTATTTACATACACGTGAAATTTTAGAAGTGTGATCTGGGCAAGAAACCAGGTGTCTGTATGCAGAACAGCATGAAATTCAGTTTTCACGTGCACAAAAAACATGAATTCAGAAGTAAAAGCTTTAAGTCCTCAGTATACAAATAAAAGCCTAGTACATACTGGGAAAAATCTTCCAATTCTTTATAGAAGTTGTATTAAAGTCAAGTCTTTTCATTATTACCATTATCAATACCAGGCAATAGCTTATGAACAGCTGAAGTTACATGTAAGAAAATACTTACTTTTGAATGGTAAAAAGAGAATGAAAAATATAAATTAAGAGCAAGCTCATTTTTTAATGACTTCCCTGCTAATTTAAGATTAAAATGTGATCTTATTACAGTTAAATGCACTTTTAAAACAGGTATTTCAGTACACAAGATTGAAAATCACCATCAGTGTCGTTCCTTTAGTTTCGCCTCTTTTTAAAAATAAGTTTTTCTTACATTTCAGATTTTGATTTTTAAGATTTTAATTTTTTTATGTTTTACTTTTTGAAACATACTTCAAAGCACAAACACCCTGTAAATCCATTATCTGATAAATTTATCATTTCAAGCCAACAAATCCAGGAAAATTAAAGCATGTTATTATTTTGAAGAGAAAAACTGTAGAACAAAGTGTAGAAGCTTACACATATTTTGATAATCCTCTGATAACTTCACACTAAAAAGTACATGAATCAAAAGCTTTGCTTTTTGCAAGTTTTATTCTGAAGGACTACATTTTTAAAAAAAGTGTTTCTTTTTGTTTGACTCTTTTGCAATACTTTTAGGTATTTGAAAATCAAATAACTTCAGATATTATGGAGGAAAAGCTTGTAGAACCACATATGATCTATTGGTGGTACAGGCTGGGGTTGGTGCTTTCTATTCCTGGAAATAAATCCAGTAATTTCTCAAGTCAGTTTCATGAAATCTTGAGTGTTCAGAATCTGCTCAATTTTACTGACATTTTCAGGGACAAGAATTGAGTAAAATACTATAAACTGATTGTACATTTAGTGAAAAAACGGCAGCAAAGTCTAATCTGTTATGCTACTGAGAAGAAAAAAATGCAGCCTTTTTGCTACTTATAATGATATTTTCTAATATTAACAGTTTATACAAACAAAATGAGTTCTATTAAATCCTTCATACAACATTGCATTCTATTCTGGAAATGTTTTACCACAGTCTAATTTCCACTGCCCTTCACCAGATCCACAATTATTTACAATGTAAAATTAAATCTATTGTCCCAGAAAATAATTTCTTTAAAGAATTTACAGTCTACCGTTTCTTCTTAAAAGAACAAGACCGCCTTTTTTTCTTTGTTTGAAAATGAAAAGTGTTATCAAAGAGTTATTAGAAAGAACATGGCCTTCCAGAACATACTGTGCTAATTAACCTTCAATACTTTGATTTTTTGCTGTCCATAGTGTAAAATATTTCATTTTGTGATGCTGAACATTGTGGAATAGTTAGATCAGTGATCAGGGTAATTTCAATCAAGAGAAGTGATATTCAATTAGACTTCTGATTTTGGATTTTAGAGCAAATGCCAATGAAAACAAATCTTTTGTGAAAACATTTTATCAAACTAATTAAAGATTTTTAATGAAGTTTTGTGTGATGGCACAATTACATCTGAAAGACATAGAACTTAGATATGTCAAAATTTATATTTCCCGAACTCTTGAAATATTTTTTAAGGCTCTCTTTTATCACATACAATTTACATAAATTTTTTTCTAGGATAGGTCTCAAAATTTAACCTCATGTGAGGAATTACCATGAATAACCTGTGTTGATTGTAATAAGGTTCAAAAGAATTGGATAGTACATTTTTTAAGCAGTTTTTTATAAATAGTCTGCAGGAAAACATAAGACTGTTAAGCACTGACTATAAAAATATCTGATGGCAAGAAGTTGAAGAAACAGGACATAGATTTGAAATAAATTGTGTATTATATGCATTTTATCACAAATATCTACCATTTTAACAGTCCACCTAAACTGCAATGCATTCTGGATTGTTGAACTCATTTTTTTTTCCATGGGACACTGAAAAAATGACCTGGTGTTGGAATGGATCTGAATCGTCCACCAATAGACAATGTCATTTAGTTTGCTTAGAAAAGTTCAAATGCTGAAATAATATAGCCTCAAAAATATTTTGTTTTAAAAACAGTTTAAAATTAATTCTTATATTGATAAATCTTCCTAAGAGTGAGGAAAAACAGTAAGTTGGTTTTTCTCAGTTTTAGAAGGAGTTTCCTATAGTCCCACATAATTTCATGTTTTCATTAGAGAATATGATAAGAGTTTTTTATCTGAAATTGTTATTTTTCAGTAGCTGTATTGAAGAGGTCCAAAGTGTAGAGGGGAAAAAGAAGACTTGACCAATAAGAGTTTACAGGTTTGGAGAGTTGATATGGTTTGAAGCTGACTCCCTGCCAAGTCTCTAAACCTCACCACAAGAAGTCCCCCACCACCCCCCAAAACCAAGGGAGAAGAGAAAAAAAACAAGAGAACCAAAACAAGAGAGACAGCTAAAGCAATATATATAAATATATTTACACTTATATTAGTTATATACAATTGAAATATATATACAATTTCACAAGGAAAAGGGAAAGGGAAGGGGGAAGGGAAAAAAAAGAAACAAAACCAAAATAAAATATATATATATCCCAACCAGTATCCCAAGATCTAGCAACTAAAAGAATTAGAAAAAGAATATCTTACTACTCTCCTTGGGACAACAGAAAGTCACTCTGGAACGATTGCCGGCAGCCTCTGTCTCCCAAGGTTGGCAAGGCCTTACCAGGCCTCACTCCCCAGACATGACAGACTCAACAGCAGGGAAACCCGCACCTCCAAAAGCCACCGGAAGGAAAGAGGCCCAAAGGCCTTTCCTCCTTTCTTCTTATACCCTGCCTTACGTAAAAATCGTACGGAATACCGGGTAAACCTGGGCACTTCCTTGGTTACAAACTGGTCACCAAGGAAGGCCTAGACTAAACTACCACAAGAGTATTAGTAGATGACAATCTCAGATGTAGCATTCTTTCTCCTGGCAGAGACAAAGAAAGATCATGTAGACATTTCTGCCCACAGTGGTGTGTAGTGCAGCATAATAATTAGCTTATTGCGGGGTTAACAATTTTTCTTCTAAAGCACCTGCTCCCTTAAATTAGAAAGATAGCAAAAACCTGTGCAGAAAATTCCTTTTCAGTATCCTCCTCTCCATGGTAAATCAGCATACAATCTCCTTCCTGTTGGCTTCTGTATTTCAAGTTCCAATGAAGGGAAGTTTTAGTGAGGATAGCAGCAGTACAAATAATCTGTCTTCACAAATTGCCAATTTTAACTAAATTATTACAAAATATATTATTTCTTAATAGTTTGTGAGATTTCAACCTCAATTGGTTGGAAAAATGAAGTAAAAAATAATGCTAATAATGTTAATGCTAATAATACTACTAAAAATAAATAGCCTCAACTCACTAATACATGGCATTTGGATCATCCAGTCCCACCCCTGCCATGGGCAGCAACACCTCCCACTAGCCCAAGTTGCTCCAAGCCCTGTCCAGCCTGGTCTTGGACATTTCCAGGGATGGGGCAGCCACAGCTTCTCTGGGAAACCTGTGCCAGAGCCTCACCACCCTTACAGCCAATATGCTTTTGATAGCTAGAGTTTTCCTGAGAAAATAAACCTTCCTGATGAGCTTTCAAATACTTCAACAACATCTAGCTGACATTAACCAGTATACAATTTTCCTCTGAATTCCTATAAATAAACTCAACATGTTTAATAAAGAAGGAAAATTGCATACTTGTCTTGCAGGTTGGAATATTGGAAGGAATGGCAAACCTTCATTTTATAAATCCTGTTAACCTGGGGAAATCAGACCATATTCTTCAATTTTCAGCAAAACCACAGGAAAACTGTCTATACAGCCCTAAATTACCATCTTCTAGGGGAAAAAAAAACCAACGAAAAAATCAAACCCAAAAGAAAACAAAGCAAAAAATAACAGAAGGGCTAAAGGAAGAAACAGGTGACTGCATGTGGGGATGTATATTTATCTATATGCATATTTATCTATGTGCATCCACAGGCAATGCTTTATTTACAATTCTTTTGCAGGCAGAGATTTTTTGCACCTGTTGTCCATCCCTTACTCATAAACAAAAATTAATATTTTGGGGAATAGCACAGTATCACAGAACGTTTTGTGTTGGGAGGACGTGAGAACATCCAGTTGCACCACTTGCCATGGGCAGGGGCACCTTTCCCTAGAGCAGCCCTTTGTGACACATCGGGTGCGGCCACTGTGACCTCGCTGGTGATGGTGGCTGAGAAAGTTGTGATGTCACAAAGGGCTCTGCCCTGGTTCCACGGGAGGCAGAAGCAGCCCAGGAAAGGGAGAGGCAAAAAACAAGGGAAGGAAGGAGGGGGGAAAAAAAAGAAAAAGAAGGAAAAAAAGAAAAAGGAAAAGAAAAAGGAAAAGAAAGAGAAAAAGAAAAAGAAGAAAAAGAAAAAGGAAAAGGAAAAGGAAAAGGAAAAGGAAAAGGAAAAGGAAAAGGAAAAGGAAAAGGAAAAGGAAAAGAAAAGGAAAGGAAAAAGAAAAGGAAAAGAAAAAGAAAAGGAAAAGAAAAAGAAAAGGAAAAGAAAAAGAAAAAGAAAAAAGAGGAAAAATGAAAAGTAAACAAAAAGTAAAAAAAGGAAAAGAAAGTGGGGAAGAAGAAAAAGTTAAAAAGATAAGTGTTAAATTCACGAAAAATCTATCTCTGAGAGAAAATGTAGTTTTTAAACACTGAAGATGTTTTGCCATAAAAGTGTCAGTTCCTACTTCTTAGACTGCACATATTTATTACACAGTGTAACTTACCAACAGTATGATTTATGGGAAATAGTTCACAATTCAGAATTTATGCGGGATGTTTCAAATTCTGGATGTCTCTGATGAGATAAGCCTTCTTAAAAGCCTTGCTTTACGTGTGTGACTGCTCAGGATTTCCTGAAAATCCAGCTGCAGAACTGCAACCCTTTCCTCTCTTCAAAAAATACTACTAAGACCACTGCATTTGCAGTACTTAAAATGTTATTTTGCCAATAGAACTGGACCTGAGTAAAATACATTTATCAAAACTGGTAGCTATTTGGTTTAAAAAACCCTACCAATTAATGTCGCTATGATGTATTAATTTTCTCCACAGTGGTTAATGAGGACACGTAGAACAGTAGAGCCGGGGCTTATGGCTGTAAAAGAGAGAAAAATATTCTAATTGGGTAAAAAAATATAGACTTATACA